GATATAATGTAGCAATACACAACAATATAATTTAATATTAAGGTCTTTATCATGTGGAAAGACTGAGAATTTTTAGTAAAAGGAGGAGAGCTGGGAGGTTAGTACATTGGGGATTAAGAATGGGCTGTAATCTGGATCTGGACAGACGGCTGTGGTAACAGACTGCAGAACAGAGCACTGAATGTTGCAACACTGAAATACTTTAGTCTCTTATTCTAAAAACCTGTGTCAGACAACACAGATGAACTAAAAACATGCACCTAACCTCTGATTGTAGAGGTTAAGGACAGCTTTCATGAAACAGACCAAAGCGGCATTCAGGCCCTGCCATACAGTCATACTCTATTGTTTGCTTGAGTAACCTTGAGAAATCAGGGTCTTCAGCATCAGTGTGACTGTTTTATACAGTGTTACTGACTGCAAGTATGAATCCATTATTATTACCAACATTTAATGAGCCATTAGAGAATATTTTGACTAAGTTTCATTCATAAAAAAATCATAAAGTAGCATACCACCATGTCAAATAAAATGGTTTATAAACATACAGATTTATATGAGGGAATCTGCAAACTGAATCCGATTTCTATGCTCCCGATAGTCCTGATATCCATGAAATCCAAGGAATTGCTCAGCATCACTGATGCAGCAAAATACCTTATTAAGTGGAATGTTGTTCAGTGGGGCAATAACTTAACAATAATTTTCATAAATAAAACACAACTAATCAGCACCAGGTGCCGGTACTCCCCTTGTTATTCAGTACCAGGTGCAGGTACTCCCCTTGTTATTCAGTACCAGGTGCTGGTACTCCCCTTGTTATTCAGTGCCTGGTGCCGGTACTCCCCTTGGTATTCAGTACCTGGTGCCGGTACTCCCCTTGGTATTCATTACCAGGTTCCGGTACTCCCCTTGGTATCCAGTAGTAGGTGCTGGTACTCCCCTTGGTATCCAGTATCAGGTACCGGTTCTCCTCTTGTTATTCTGTCCCAGGTGCCAATACTCCCTGTTACTTCCCTTGGTATTCAGTACTAGATGTTGGTATTCCCCTTGTAATTCAGCACTAGGTGATACTGATAATAGACAATTATGTTACCGGTTTATGCATTTACTATACTTTACTTTTTATTGCTATTTAGGCTATAAAATACAGCCTAGGTGTATAGTAAACTATACCATCTAGGTTTGTGTAAGTACACGCTGCGATATTCTCACAATAACAAAATTGCTTAACGACGCATTTCTCAGAAAGTGTCCCTGTCCTAAAGCAACGCATGACTGTATTGATTCTGCTAAGTGAAATTGCACTGATGCATTATTTCTACTTCATATATCCTGTGTATTTATCCTGTCATTCCTGCTTTTACTATATGTTAATGTTATTTTAGGTTTTGTGTGTTATTTGGTATGATCTGTTTTTTTGGGGTCTGGGGGATTTTTTTCCCATATAAATTAAGGGTAATCGCTTCTCCGCTTCACGCCATTTAGGCTTTTGAAAGGTTTCACAGGAATGATCTTCTTTTGTAAAGCAGCGCATACCCGCAGTGCTGATTCCAGCTGGACATTTCCGGCACTGCGTCCAACTTAGAGGTCATCATTATGCCCAAATAAAGCTGATGAAAATAGATATAACCTATTAGCTAATAATAGCCCACAGGAACATTCGTTGCTTGCAATAAATGTAAAAAAAAAGGGTTTAATATTGATATACTATTAACACCTGCAATCTCAGGATGCCAGTTGTAATGGTACCTGACAGCAAAGATAAACACGGGTGTTGGGTGACCAATGAAGGATGGAAAGTTCTGCTTTAAAACGTGCTATAAACCTGCCGACCACGAGAATACACGAGGAAACAGCTGATCCGAGTCCCAGGGGAAGTGGCCGCACGCGCACACTGTGCACAGTCTCCTTTTAAAGGCATTCAGATGGCGAGAGCCACATGGCCAGAGGGCCCCCAGAGACCCCACCCTGCGGCACCTCTGACAGCGCAACAGCGGGAATTTTCTGAGCCACTAACACGATAAAAGCTCACGCTGGTTAAAGGCTCCGCTTCACCCCACTGCTGACTAGAGGATGACCTCGTTTTACTACATTGTGTGCACATTTGCTTGCTCCATTTGCGGGATGTTTCAGGTCAGGGCCATTTATCCTGACCAGTGCCACCACAGCCTGTTGCTTACGCAGGGGGAAAAAGGGGGTGGGGGGGTTTGTCAAATGATCATGTGTGGCTTTACTGTTAGGGGCAGGGCCGGGATTCCTGTAAGTGAAGCCCAGGTTGATTCCCGTTCACACCAAGGCAGGGTGTGAGGTTTTGCACATGCGAGAATGAGACAAAAGTGCTGTAAATACACCGCAGGGCAATACTGCCACGTCTCCTCCAATGACGGTGGGAAGCGGGCAGTGACAGCGAGCCAGCAGCCAATGAGGGGACGGCTGTGGTTGTGGACCTCACGCTCCTGCATTGTTGTGGTGCCCCAAAGAGCCAAATGCCTGCGCTTGTCCTGGCATCCTCATTTGTCTCTCTCTACCTCGAGCCATGCAGCGGCGGTGAGGCTAGACACTGCGGAACTTCAGCCGGTAAACAGACTGCGGCCTCTTACGCTGACAGCAACAAAGAAAACCCCCCGACGAGGAAGCTGCAGGTACCAGCAGAACATCTCTAGTACTATGAAAGAAGTTCAAGAATCTGAAATATTCATCTCAGATTGTTTTCCGGATATATCAGTTGTAACATTTAATCCCACCTATCAGGGTTGGGGCCATTCCGGAATGCATTGATCAATTCCAGTCCAAATCAGGAAATGGAACTGGAGTTGGGATTGGAAAAAAAGTACAGGGAACAGAATTGGAGTTGAATTTGAATTTCAGGGAGATTTAAGTTCCAACTCCAGTTCCATTTCCTGATTTGGACTGGAATTGATCAATGCATTCCGGAATGGTCCCAGCCCTGCCACCTATGAAACGTCCTAATGTTGGGTACTGCGACGAAATCACGCCCCTCTTTTCGTGCTTGAAGACTCACCCATCGATCGATCCTGCCTTGTGCTGGAGTTACAGCCAATCTTGCGTAATTAATCTTATTTGTTAATTTTTCAGCACTCATACAATTTAAGTATTTCATTAAATACATTTTTGACACTTTCAGTATCATGCCGATTTACTAACAGTATTTTGTATCTTGTATACTGAAGTACCTGTATGAGTTCCATAGGCTATATGTGTCAGTATCACTCACATATTTATGACAGCACATCCTTATAAAGTAATTTAGTCTATTGAAATTGGCAACCCATGTATTTTATAAAGGTAGGGTGCTCTGATAAAGCATTTCAGTCTATTGAGATGTGCTACCTGTAGCTTTAACACTCGTAATACAATCTGATAAGGTATTTCAGACTGTCACCATGACAACTTATATTACATTGGTTTTTTTAATTAGTCATTTATTTTTTCTTTTATAATCTGCTTTAAGTTTCAGCACATAAAAATGACTGTAGCATTTTTCAATAGGGTAGCACCGATTGATAGATATATCTGTCAAAACATATTTCAGTAGGACAACTCCACATGATAGCACAAATCATCAGAACACCAGACCTCCGCACTGAAACATAAGGCAGTAAAATAGAGTGACGGCAGTAGAATGAGGACGAGGGAACACTGCTATACTGATTACACCCGAGCCCCTTACATGCGGAACATTTGTAGTGGGCCACTTGCTTCTGTGGTCTGTTTCTCCACAGCGACACAGACCAGGAAATGTTTCTACGCACAGCTAAGCGCAAAATATCAGCAGGACCAACCTCAAATAATCACTGCCAGCATCGCAATCAGTTTTCCATTGCCGTGGATTTCACACTTACATTCATTTTCTTGCTTGTACAAAAATCACATATGGAATAACATCATCGTCGACTGCCAGGAATCATTTTTCCAGAAATGGTTTTTCCATTATTTTCCATCAGTTATTTTGTTCTGCACTCAAGACACTGAAAAAAACATGTAGCGTTGCCAGGTAACTTCTGTTTTACTGGGAGGTTTGCACAATAGAAAACAGAAATTAACATAGATTAACTTTGCTTTTAAAATTTAAACACATACGGTACATACATTTTGTCCGGGCACACTATAGCACAGTTTGGGCCAAAGTTTTCATGAGGGAAAAACATATGTTGTGTTATACCAGTCACTTACGTAACAGAAAACCAGATTTTGGCAGCACTTTTAACTCTTAGCGTTATTTTTCAGGACTCTGATTGACACTGATGATTCCCCCAGACTGAAGCGCTTTTGAGGAGTCATGACGGGTTCCTGGTACGCACAGCGTGACAGAGAACCCCCTCAAAGATCTGGGACACTGCAGATCAGGTTACAGAACCGAGACCAAACCAGGTCTCACCATACTAAATGAAAAGCAGCACAGTCCCTCCCAGTTTTTGGCTGTCTCTGTCTCTGCTGACACAACTAACCAGACTTCATCCCTGCCGGGGGAAGTACGATTCCGCCCCAGGAAAGCAAACTGAAGTGTAAGAGGCGGATCTGCCAAGGAAATCCGAGCGTCGTTCACAGTTTGTTTAACTATTTGTAGCGAGAATATGATGAGTGTTATGACCCGAGAAAACGTGACTAATTCACCCCGGTCACTTTCCAGAAGCTATACTTCTACAGTTTTTTGTGTTGCTGTATAAAAGCAGGTAATTCTCTAGCCACGGTACCATACAGGACGAATCTTAATCATGCTATATGCTGCCTCCAAACACAAAACTCTCTATGAGCTTTATTCTCAAGTATATTTTTATCCAGTGGGAGTCTTCAATCAATACTGATTTGGGAAAAGCTTCTCATTCTGTCTGTATGCTCCTGGCATCACCAAACTACACACTCAGCAGTAACGAATGCCAAGCAACTGCTCTTATTCCCAGACCTTTTGCTGTGAGCATCATTCTGATTGGACAGGCATACACAGTGCCGGTTTAGAAAAACAAGTCAATCCCTACCTTTCGACCTGATTGGCCAGGTAATCCAGGCGGGCCCATCATGCCCGAGTCGCCCTGAAACAACAAACACTTATTAAAGTCACCTTGACACAACGCAAGTAAGAGACTCATCGAGCTTAAAATACTGTAAAACTATTTTGGTCACGTTCCACTCTGATCCCACACAGTTTATTCTCATTATCTGTGAGTGTTTATTTACCAGTTTTCTGGTAGAATGACGGATAAAATCCAATTATATAAAAACAAACAAATTGAAAATATTTTCAGTTTAATTGCAAAATGCGTTGAATAGAACCGTTTACACATGCAAAGAAACACGGTGGTCTGAAGCTAAGATGTTAGCTACAGTGCTAACCCAAGAAGTGCATGTGTATGTCTGCAAATCTATATGCATTCAAAGTGAATAAAATATGTCTATAACAAAAACAATGTCAAAGAAGGACGGATTGCCTGCACTATCCCCCATTTATGTAAATCATAGGATACTTTATAATTACGGAGTATTTATATTTATTTATTAACTGTTGTGACATTACAATTGCGTGCTACAGTAAAATTTGCCAGCTGTTCGGGTCAGGAAGTACGTGAATTATCTGTTTATTAGACCTTCCCAAACATCGTTTCCTCTTTGTCACAGATGGTGACCTGAGTTTTCTGCTGACAAATGCTGACAAGATGAGGGAATATGTCAGCAACCAGAGTCCGTGCCCACAGACATACACTTCCTTTGAAAAACTCAGTTCTTGTAACCTAGTGAGACAATGGCTTAAATGCAGGGTTGCGGGCATCTTCTCGGCAAGGAAGAGGGATGAAGATATGAGATTTGGTTTTGCGGTCAAGCTGCAATAAAGCTTCTAGAGTGTCACTGGCCAATAGAGGAGGCTTTAATTGGTTGGTGGATGGGGGGAAGTACCCGATTGGCTGGTGAAAGGAGAATAGTTCTTCCTGAGAATACCTAGTTCCCTGTGCGGAATGAGCTGCACATCAAGGTTTAATTAGTTTGTATGTTCCCTCCTGTGCTCCACGGCATTGCTTCCACATTGCAACAAAGATCTGAATTGGAAATCAAGTGACCGTGACACGGCTGTGTTTGTTCAATACCTTTGATCTGGCTCAACATTAGAAGGAAAACATCCAATAGCTGTTTCAAAATTATTAATGGTAATATTTTTTTCAAGTAAAGATCTTACGATCAGGTTCCAAATAGTCTCAGTGCAAAATAAATACAGTGTCATTTTGATTATATTTTTATTTCAAAAGTGGGACACTTCAATAACTATTAAACTGGTCTCAATTGCATCTAATCATAGGAGAATCAGATCATATTGAATCAATGTTGAACCGATGTGTATGAAATTGTTAACTTTACCCATATCCTTTTGTATCATATCTAGATGCGTGTTGTATCATCTGAGTGGTACCACGCAGGTACCGGGTGTGCATTTGGAAAAGCACTGCTACAGACATGAGAACCAACATTCCACAGAATGTTCTGGAAGCAAAAAGGTAACAGTACTCACTTTGTCTCCACTGGGTGCAGTTCCAGGTGAGAGTCCTGGGTCTCCTTTTCTCCCCTGAAACAGAGCGATATTTCCGGTGATCAGTGACTTTATTACACTTGTTATTTGGGCTTATTTAAGTGGTATTTCTGTAGACTCCTCCCTCCTTCTAGCAATAGAAAATAGTTCAGAACTACAGTTTGGACCCAAGGGCCTCGCTGTCCCATCATTACATAATCTGTTATGAATTTATAGTACCATAATAAAGATGGTTCTTTTCTCTTGTCTAGGGGAACCATACTGTCCTACTGTTTTATTCCTGACAACTGCTTTGTTTATGAAACATAATTTAGAATTCAGATATATCTGAGTTCATAATATGCATGATGAGCTTCTTTGCAAATAGAAAACAACATCCGTCCTGAGTGTTCACCCAGTGACGGGGGTAAGACCCCCTGGGAAAGACCCCCTGGGATTTATGTTTAGGACAAAGGTGTGCTCACTCTCATGAGTCATGTATATCATAAATTACACTCATGACGAGTCTCTGTAGGACTTTGCAGTGGAAAAAATCATGTCAGGAAAATGTATTTCCTGCCCAGCATGTAAAATAATGATGTGTGTTACACATCAAAGCAATCTGTGGGAAATTAAACGGAGATTGACGCTTTTTTTTCCACAAGCACTCCGGTGGTGTAGAACTCCCGGATGAAAAAATAAAATTACAATGTAGGACACAACATCAAATATTTGGGTAAACTGTTGTGAAAACCTGGCCTGTGACAAATTCTTAACACATAATCTGACAGAGGAAAAGCCATGCATATAAAATCACAGGAAAAAGAAATGAACATGTTATGAATTAATTGCTGGAATAAATCTGGAAGGAATTTAGTGATGTAATTCTCCGGCTCAATACAATTGTTCTTCGGTCTTTTAAATGATTAGCATAAACTTCTTTCACAGAAACAAGACAGTATTTGGTTTGGCATTGTAAGCCCTTTAGAGTAGTAATTACTATTTATTTCTAAATATGTAGATTTGAAGCTTATATTAAATACCACAGAAAATAAACATTACTAACATCTACTAAAATAAAAGTATTCTATAGTACATCTTTTTCCTTTTCCTGTCAAATCAGAATATTAATTCTGTCTGTACAGTCTGTCAATGGATCGATGTTACTGTAAATAGCATTCACCCTCCATTTAAGCAGCCTTTATAGTGGTTATATCTGGATCCTGTCCAGTTAAGAAGAGTTACTGCATATAAGGCCTGTTGCAGGTAGATATACAAATTGTACAGCATGAAATTTAAAACCCTAGAAATACTTCATGTTTTGGGAGATGTAGACTTTGTTTTCTAACTGGTGTAAACCTTTTCAAGTGGCAAATGAGTTACCAGCACAATATGTTTTCGCTCAATAATTTCCCTCAGTATGGAAAAGGGCCCCTTAAGTTCTAATCTGATAATTTAACTTATCAGACTTTCATGATGATTACTGGAGCGGAGAAAAGGTGCGAAGTGCTGAAGAAAACCTCAGGAAGGGGCAGAGTCCTCAGCGCTGGAGGAGGGACCCGAGAGCGACACCTAAGCTCTTTCAGGGTGGGGGGGCGGGGGCTGATTCTGTTGTTCCAGCTGCCATTTTCAGGAAGCTCACAAAAACACGCCTCGGCCACGGGCGAAACACAAGGGGCCTGTTCACTGGGACGTCCTATCCGCCGATCTCGCACATGAGGTCCCCACTGGGAGATCTCGGCACACAGGGAAGGCCAATCTGCAGCTTAATCAGGGTCCCTCATTACATAAATGGGCTTATAAAATGCGGGGCTTTACAGAGTGCGCTCTAATCTGGCGTGGAGAGATCGCTGCAACGTTATGTTGAATGAGGGCCTCGATGAAGCCTTGCAGTGACCCAACAAAGTACGACACGTGTGGTAAAGGAGAGCCGTACTGGCTGCAGCTGGAGTCGTTTTTACCCATTTGTGGTGTTTCTCTAAACACTCAGGTATGTCTGCTACAGTCCTTTCAAAGGCGTCGGTGACGATACCACCTAACGTACACGAGCCGTCATTGTAAAGTAATGACTACATGGTTTCTGGGCTTCAACAGGCATGGAAGCATTTCTGCCTCATATGTTCCACTGACCACTAATAAATCGCCAATGAATGTCTTCTACAGTCCCATGAATGGGATGACATCACAGTGCTGTTTTAGGGCCTAGGTGACAGGAGGTGGCTCTGACATTCTGCTGTTTACAATGCGAGTACAGTCCTGACCCATACGTCCTCTTCTCTTTTCCACTCTTTTATTACCGACTCCATTCTGCCGACTGATTCATTACACGTTTCTGGATGGAAAGCTGCCTGCTCACAGGCAGGTGTTCTTCCAATTTCGCAGTCTTCTGCCGTCTGTCTGCACAAAGCATTACATGAAAAGGATCCTTTCCTATCTGGGCTAAACCCAACATCACTGGAACTGCGCCCAGCCATCAATTCGGTGCATGGAAAGACATAGCGGCACCTTGTAGGAACCAAGACGGCAGATATTTCCTGCAGGTTTATATGGGGTGTGGTGGGGTCATAACCTTCATATGTAGACTTCGAGGTACAAATATGAAGTCGACTCAGGCTGTTTCGTTCCAAGTACTGTAAATCCCAAGAAGAAGAAAGAACAGAAAGCTGCGTCTAATAAGAATCAGCATATGCAGCACCGCACTGTACATTCATACCTTTAAGTCCTGCCTCTTCATTCATTCATCAAATTCTTCTTAGAGTACTCTTTTCATTCACGTTCAACTTCTTCCTAGCATAGAATACTCTTCTTAGAGTATAGTACACTATTCATTGACTTTCAACTTCTTCCTAGCATAGAATACTCTGCTTAGAGTAGAGTATTTCACTTTCAAGTTCTTCTTCGAATAGAGTACTTAGAGTACTTCTCTCCAACCAGAAGTATCCAGTGGGGGTGTGGTGGGATAATAGGGTCTCTTTATGAAGGGGATACTCTAGCCCACCGCCAGCTACCTCCCGTACTCCCAGTGGGATGTAGGGCAAGTGTCACAGAGGCAGGGGTAAAACCGGCTCCGACATAAAAGGAGGATTTAATAAGAGGAACCAAAAGAGTGTGCTGACAACCTTTTCATCAGTCCTGTCTGATGTTTGGTTTTTTCAAAGAAAACACAGAGACAGAAGCAGCGGGGCTAAGGACCTGCCACCAGGACCTGTCACTGGCAGGTGACGCCTCTCCCTGCATTTACGTGATATTCGCTTTATTTAGCAGATGCTTTTCTGCAAAACTACGTACGAGTGATGCAAACAGCACGTTACAAACACACGGCTGTCAGAGGATCAACTCGGCATAAATGCAGACAGGCTGAGCTTCCGATGAGCAACCAGTGAAAGCAGTTTTGGAGAAGGAGCTACACAACATCATCCTTACAAAGAAACAGAGAACCTAACATTACTACTCAAGTCGGCAGAAAGTGGAACACTGAGCGAGCATGGAGGGGTGGAGGCTGGCTGGGGGATTCCAGGGAGAGATGGGTTTTCTGGTGTTTCTTGGAAGTGGAAAAGGAATCTTCAGTTTCTCTTTCACAAGACATGCTGCTACCTAGTTTCATTCAGCCTACAGTACATCTATGATGTAGTCTACAAAGCAGAATTCAGTAACACTTTACTTAAAGCTGTCATCTATAATGCACTTCATAATGCACTATAATGGTCGGTATAAGAATTAATAAAGCATTATAACCTCTTCTATTGACAGCCATAAGGCATTATAGTGTTCATAATAATACTTCATAAGCTCCAGTGAAGCTTGTATCTATGCAGTACACAGCATCCTTAATGCTTATACTGACCATTATAATGCATTATAAAGGTATATATAGTGCATTATAGATGAGAGCTTCATAAGGCAGTCATAATGCATAATAAACATGGCTATAATGTGTTATGCCTTTTTTTTATAAATATATATCTGCCATGTTTATAATGCTTTATGAATGCATTATAATGTGTTATGAATATGTTCATAGATTCTTATAAGCAGAGCATTCACAGAAAGTGCCACCAAGAATTCTTCTTATTGGTTTTTTATTTTCATAATTGTTTCATAAGATAAAGTGTCATGATGTTTTGATGGATTTTTGACATTAAGAGTTTTTATTGAATACATCACTACATCCCACTTTCTTCCTTTGCAATGAAAACTAACTCTTTTGGTACACAATATGACAATATGGCAATATGATTCCTGCACTTAAAAACTGCAACATTTCCAAAACGCCCTCTACTTTATTAATAATCCGGATATGTTATCTCCTACATAATCCTTCATGAGCACAAAGTCATTGCCAAAATCAGTCATCCAATTTGAAATTCATAGGAGATTACAAGCAAACATCTGTTTTAGCAATATAAGCCTGGCTGTAAGGAATCGTGGAAGATACTTTGGAATATCTGACCCTGAGTATTTAAGTTTGCAAACTGTATCTGTTATTTGGCCACTACAGCAATCAGGGTAGTCCTTTGAGAACCTCATAAACTGCAACACTCACTAGTGTTGATTATCTAAGAGGTTGGAGCCTCTCTGCTCTCATTTATCCTCACTTTTCCCTATCCTCTGAACACTCTAGGTACATATTTCCAGAAAAATGTCAGCTGCCTCACTATTCACAGTGGTACAGAGAGGAATTCTGGAAACACTGCTATTTATTTTTTGGTCCTGGTATGTAAATATACAGTCACGGAAGCCAAGTTTAGCTTAACATGTGCTATTCTGCATTTACACCCAAAACATCTGTGTGCATCTGTGAATACACTGCATCCATGAACATGCTGCATCGGTGAACACACTGCGTCTGTGAACACACTGCATCGGTGAACACGCTGCATCTGTGAACACGCTGCATCGGTGAACACGCTGAATCTGTGAACATGCTGCATCGGTGAACACGCTGCATCTGTGAACACGCTGCATCGGTGTGTACCTTTAGTCCAGGTGGACCTGGAGGCCCTGGATTCCCATGTGGTCCTGGAGGACCCTGCAATGGAAACACAGAAAGTCCATACTCAGGAACACTGGCTTGTAAACAAAAGTATATGATATTATCTGGTATACATCAGAAAATTGAATCAAGTGGGATTAAAAACTATTTTCTTGCGAGCCTGAAATGTCCCTGCCAAGTGAGCTCTGCTGGACTGGAAAGCAGGAAATGGATCTTGGATGCCAGCAGAAAAACACTGTCGAGATAGTCAACCAAACTCCAAAGCAGAGTTTCTGAACTGGTGGGGTATGAGACCATTTTCGGTGGCTCACGGAATGAGTGCTCCAAAAAATAAAACAAAAACTTGTAGACAACCCTTCTGGGCGACAACTTTTACCACTAATTTTGGTCGTGTCTTACTGACCAAAGCAACATGAGCGGCCTGAGGTTAAGTCAGCTGAGAAGCACTGCTGTAAGGTGTGACCTTTAATGTGTTCTACCAATGTAACCCTGAAAAAAATGAAGTTTCCAGAAGACTCTGATGTCATACACAGTTTCCCTCCAGCATGCATAAACATCGCTTCAGTGAAGAACAGAGCCAGACTGAAATATTCACAGCTTGATTACAATGACATCACCGGAGTGAGTCCGTATCCCGGAGATGGGCCAACACATTCTGCCTTGCAGCTCATAGGAGGTATCTGCAGAACATCAGCTCCCACGGCCCTCTGACACCCGGCCTGTTACAACTTTCCCTGTCTTTCCGTCTGCTGTGTGGAAACTTTGTTCGAGTTACAGCATGTGCATGTGATTTTCTTCATCCCTTTCTCAGCGGCTACGAGGAACACCGTGGATAGTTCCAATTTGTTCTTACAACCTGTGTCGTCAGCCACAAAGTGGGAGCTTCTGAAAAAGGTTTTTTTTCTGTAGCCTGGTGTAGTATTTTCAAAGATTAAGACGGCATGGATATGGCCCTACCAAAAAGCACCTCTCCCCTCACCAAAACACTCTCAGTACTTACCGGTAAGTCCCATACTTGCCATATTTTACCAAGTATGGTGCAGGCTTGGTATCCTTTATTTATAGGGATCCACTCCTGCATTTATTTATTATTTGTACACCTTAATTTCTATCTCTATATTATTTTTAATGTATTTGTAGTTTTTGTGCTTTTGTCTTGATTCTATGTTTAATTGTATATTTTATGTCACCACCTGCACCAAAACAAATGCAAATAAGACAAATGGATGACCTGAGCAGAGGAGAAGCCAGCAGAAAATAAAAGGCTTTATGAGCCGTTTAGAGAGATATTAGCTGGATGGTGTAGGCGCCCGCAGTGACAACGTCATCTCCCGTTCCACAGGGAGGGGGCCAGCGCTGGCAGGGAGGGGGCCAGCGCTGGCAGGGAGGGGGCCAGCGCTGGTGGCTGCGAAGACGCGCCAGCTTAAAACCCACAGTCTTTGCGCAGCTGGCCAAGGCAGTAACCGCCGAAAGCCACAGAACATTCCGGATGCCCCACACAGGTCCCACTCTGACCACGCTTTGGCAGAGCGTGTTTGACATTTAGATTTATAAACCTTATATAAATGCATTAAAGAAAACACAACTGGCTTATAATGAAATTGCTTCAAACAGTACCATCTCCATGCCCCCCCCCCCCCCCCACCACAAAAGACGATCGTTGACAGGCGATAGTTAAGGCGAGATGTTGATTTCGTCTTCCCGCCTTTGGCTTCCATGCTGCGCGTAAAAACTGGCTGTAAATGTTGCTTTCAGTGAAAGATGCCAGCTTCGCACACTACAGCTTCCTGTTCTGCAGTCATTAACGGCAGGTTGGTCAGAGCCAGCGCTCGTCTGAGAATTCACTACTCTCTGAAATTAAAGGGCACGCCAGACCCAAGGGGTTGTCATTTTTCCATTACGGTCTTTAAGACTAAGAAAATAGATTTCATAGCTTGAGCGAGTGGCTGGATGGTCCCCCTCTAACAGAGCAACCAGCTGCCCAAAGGACCCTCAGCCGCCCAGCGGGGACCCGAGTCTAACCATCCGTCTCACGCCGAGACGAGGGCTCCTGCGTCACACTGTTTTCACGTCTTCCTCCTGCACGCCTGCTAATTACACACTTCTGAGGCCCAGGAAGGCAAAGGGACGCACACCCACTGACAGGGAAAATTAAAAAGCTACATACTCATTACTTGCTTTATTCTAGTAAACAGACAAAGACTTAAAAGAGCAGCGTCAGACTTCCGTCCTTGCTGCCAACAGACAGGCCCTGCTATAAAAATTATACGAACGTGGGCCCAGAGACTACCGGTCATTAATCAGAGCCAGAGAAATGAAAGAATAGGAGAGTCACTGTAAACTGATATTGGTTTAATTTAATGCATATTCATAAACATTTAAATAGCTGGAGAAAACAATGGAGTTTTGTTCTAGTGTTATTTCACACTTTTGACACATCGCTTTTAATTATGTGAAAAAAACCATCTCTGCCAGACTTTATACGGCTAACGGCCAGAGTCAAGCAAGGGTCCGTACAGGGAGCGTGGACCCTGTCTGCCCAGTGGAGGGGGGGGCTCTCTTCCCAAGGGAGACAAAGCCTCCTTTGAAGCAGGCATCAGACAGCGGCCCCTGGGAGCCCCCAGTGACCTGACACTGGAGACGGGGTCGGGCAGGCAGACGGGAAGCAGAGCCGTGTCTCTCCTGCCCCGGCACCTCGCTGACACTCAGGGCATCTGCTCGCATGTGAGGTACGTCGGCTACTGTGTGTGGCGTGTTACCCTAGATGGGGGGGGGGGGGGGGGGGGGGGGGGGGGGGGGGGGGGGCGCCGGGCGGGTTCAAGGCATCTGGTGTCACCTGGTCTTCTCTATGTGTTGACGACAGTTGCTAAACTAATCTCACACCCATGTGCAGCGGCTTGCGGAGGCCAAGGGTCATGTCTGGTTTGCGGATGAACATTTTGGGAAACGAGCTTCACAAGCCTGAGCCATAAGGGGAAAAGAAAATCGCCACCGTGCCAGAATCCCCCTTTTCGGGAATTACGGCGAACATTCCCATAACTAATAAAAAAAAACACTCCTTATGCTGAGGCATTAGCGTAAGTTAGTTAATAAACCAAACATTCAGACAAGGTGCGTTTCTATATTACGAGGGTTACGTCCCTGCTGCAAGAAAACTCCGAGCCACAAGGGTTTGAGGTCCATTTCCAGCAGAAACATTGGTTTTGACAGCATTGCTTTCTATGATTTACTTAATTGAACATTGATAGCAACCATCATAAATAGTGTAACTATTGTTGGAGAGTGTAGTGCTGTAACATTTATCATATTTGATGCGGTCAATGCTGACGTTAAGCTGACTTGAAATTCTTAATCCAGGAGTTTTCGATCTGCATGATTTGATTTACGAGGCACTTGGTTTCTGATCAGAGCAGCTGCACGTCTAAATGGAAATCAGCCTTTTCACCTGATGCTGATATTCACAGCGCTGCTGCCGGGACCCCCGGCCGCCGGCCAGACACAGGGGTAGATGGATGTACGGGGGGGGGGGGATGCTGAAACAGCCGCCTTGTGGAACTGCTAAAAACGCCACACAAAACCAGTCTGTTTGAGACTGTGTCGCTCCATCCCTAAAACACCCCTACATTTTTCGCAACCATTTGTCCAATGCAGGGTTGCGGGGGGTCCAGAGCCTATGGGTGCAAGGCAGGGAACAACCAAGGATGGATCGCCAACATCACAGAACACACACACACACACACACACACACACACACAAACAGCCGCCTTGTGGAACTGCTAAAAACGCCACACATGCAAACTCCACACACATGGAGCCACGCCAGACACTCAAACCCTGGTCCAAGAACTGTGAGGCAACAGCGCTCACCAGTGCACCCCTGTGCCACCATCCCAGAACATGGGCCATGAGACCCTTCTTCCTCTATCTGGCTTCTGAATAAATGTTCATTCAACAATAAAACGTTTTAGCTATGCAGCTGTTTTAAGAAGCAAGCCATGGGGGCCGGTTTCATGCGTCACGCCATTAAGGTCCCCTATAGTCGCCTAACGGATGCCTCTTTTAATTTCCCCTAACTGTTGTCTAGCACAGCATGCTGCAAAGATTACTGTGGGGAGTCTGGCCTGTTTCAGGAGATACGTCCTGTGTGATCTTGTGGAAGTCTCTGTTTTATTTAGGGGTTTTTAAAATGCCCACCAGTGGGTTGGGCACATGCTCAGCTGGCCTTAAATCATGTCAGCGTTGGCTTGGCCTCTCACCCCCTCCAATTTCATTGGTGCCTTCCGGATTTCATTGCCTACTATGTGCTCACATCCCTAAAATCAGCCTCCAAGTTAATGTTTGGCTAGTCGGCCTAAATCCTCTGCAGGTGGTTGGGGAGACATCTAGGACTATTTTTTTTAGTTCATCAACCACTTCTGTAAGGAGACATCATCTGCGAGGCCACAGGGAGCTGCGAAAACATGCCAGCATTCAAGGTCTGAGGGCTCTGAAAGAAGGATTAATGGCTTTAAATGGCTCCTAATAATACATGTAGAAAGATTTTATTCTCAAGTTAAAGGCATTTTCCCTTAGTCATGCTCACCAGGGGTTTGCAAAGAAGCCTGGTTTACCAGACGGATTTGGAAAAGCACACGCACGCATGCAAGAGGTTCACACACTCAATGTGAAAGTTTAGCAGGCTCACAAAAATACATCTATTACTTCATAGATTTCCCAGAATGCCTATTAGTAAATGTCCTGGATGAGATGACAGGACATCACATCCACATACCCACACATACACACACACACACACACACACACACACACACACACCATGGACAATACAGAGACATCACACATCATTGGGCTACGGCATGGTCCAGAAGCACCTTCAGGAAACCCAGAAAACACATGATATCATTTTAAATCAGATCATGGTCATGCAGTTGCCATATTCATTGTGGATTTACATATATTGTTATCCAGGCGGAAAAATTGTAAATGCTATTTCGGTCCAAAACACCTGAGAATTGCCAACATTCCTTCATAGTAACTTCACACTAACTGGAATTCATTACACATTACACAGTCATCAAACCAATTAAAAAACCCATAAAATGTTCCTAAAACTCCCCAGACCCAAAATCTTAGACTGTATGACAGGTCGTGACAATATTATTAGTCTGTTATGGAAACATGGATTCGTTTTGATGGACATAAATGGGTTTCTTTCCCTTATCCAGTGCAGGGACTTGGAGGGAACCTGGAGGCCTTCCCAGCAAACGCAGGGCAAGGGACACACTGGAGAAAATGCCAAACTATCACAGGACACTCTGGACGCAGTCTAAGTCTCAACCCGGTCCTTGGCACAGTCAGTCCATGTTTTTGCTCCCTCCCTGGGAATATATTATATTTTAAATCAGCCCTAATATTACTCCTGTTTTTAATTCCTAGTTGGTATCACATCGTTGGTGTTACACTCTTTCTCATTCTACACGTAATGACACGGATTAATCTTCTATGCTTAATTACCAGTTTTTACGAATGCATGTCATAATGAAAACCAAAGAAAATCAGCCTGATTTGAAACTATTCAGCTGCCGTACATGTAACCGGGAGCTGGGGGCAGAGGTGGAAAGTTCAGGTTCAGAAAGTAAAAATCTAGACCAAATCCAGATTTTGTTTCAACCAACCAATTGAGTATAAAGAGTCAAAGTCAAAGAGTACTTAACTGGTTGGTAAACTGGTTTAATTTTTGGACTCGACCTTTTCAGCTCTGGCTGGGATGGAGTAAAACACATGGACAGTCTGAGAAACACTAGGCTGAGAGCCTTTGGACTGTGGGAGGAATCCAGGAAGCCTGAAGGAAACAGACGCAACACAGAACATGCAAAAGCCACACACACAGACGGGGGGCAGTATTCTAACCCCCAACGCTGGAGGTGTGAGGCAACAGTACTACTCACTGAGCTGCCCACACACACAAACACTATTCGCATTCTTGTACTCGTATCTATTACTTGGTTCCAGAACGCCGTTTATTTAACTAAAATCCACTGTTTATTACATATTAAGTCATCCAGGTTGGTAATTACACATTAATTACACATACTTTGCATAGCCTGACCATGCAATTGTTAACTGTTTGTGGGCAAATTGATATCAGGTGATTAATTGGAAAATAATTCTTTTCATATCAGACACGTGATACATTAATCATTTTTCAATTACTTAACAACTGAACCCCCCCCCCCCCATATGCGCAGAGGAATCAATCTCAATCCGGGAGATGTGACCTGTTAGCAGCTTGGTTGAGGATGGCTCCTTAACACCCCCGTTACACCGTTATAAAGAAGCATTAGCTTATCTGCATAAAGCGATGGGGCAAAGCTAAAGGAACAGCGAAGGAAGAGTTAGCGGCGCTTATTGGCTATGAAAAGCCCACAGGAAACAGCTGTATCACCCCGGCTAGTAACCCGGAGGCCAAAATAACAAACAAGCCAGGCTTTGTTTACATACTGGAAAAGTAAAATCATCCATTTACACTTCTACAGCCCCGTTAAACGTGCATATGTCATTTTGGCATTAAGAAAGCCTTACTACAATGAATGGTAGAAAAATCAAACACTGAAATTCAAAATAATCCTGATTACAGCAAGAATGTTACAGACCAGAAGAAACATCAATATCGAGAGCATGTTCATTGTTCAGTGGTGTATTCATCCTAAATTATGAGAATTCAATCTTTCATCGATCTTTCTTACGTGAACATTTCGGGCCTTACACTTGAATAACTTTGTGTTTTACACAGGACACTTTGTTAAATCTTGTCTGATTGAGCTGCATGTACTACACAGGCATAATCTAACAATGAACGCAACAGGTTTTAACAATTCCAACAGAAAACAAGCACAGGGGTCCTGCTCCTTCACATTTCAGGGACCCTGCATATCATCTTAATGCTGACAAAAGATATCCTATCCAAGTTCTATCAAAGCTGCTATTTCTGCATGTCGTTCTTGGAAGGACTGGGCTGTTTTTGGGTCAGGGTTAACTATGCCATTCCCCGGGGGAGGGGGTCGATAAAAATAAGGGGACAGAAAAGGCTCTGGAGTGTGCATTTATGGAAGCAATCCTCGGGGTCCGAGCCGCCAGATGCTGGAGAGACTCACCCGAGATCCCCGCTTTCCTGACGGCCCAATCTTCCCAGGTGGTCCTGGAGCTCCCTGATTAGGGGCGGAGAAAGAGAAACGTCTGTGAGTAAATACTTCACCACCACCCCCATAGAGCAACATCAACTGTAAGTCACAAATCAATTTAAACTGCAGTACAAAACAAGGCAGTTTATGGAGGAGAAGCCCTTCAAGACAGAGGAGTTTAGCAACCACTCTGACCTGACTTTAAGGGGGAGGGGGGTGTGTGTATGACTGGGCCGGGGGGGACGGGGAGTGGGGGTGCACCGACCTCGGTGTGCACAAGCTAACAGCTGCAGATCCTCAAGAGACACCCCAAATGTTGCTATGGAGACGGCAGATTGCGGTGGTGCACGTGGAACAGGAAGGTCAGCGGACAGAACAGGAAACCCATGGGATGGAACTCATTAACCTTACGACGAGGGCAGGCAGACAGAGCGGAGACCAGGCCTGTCAGACTCTCACACTCAAGCAAGAAATCTTACGGCAAATCTGCGATATTCCACCATAAACCTAAAATTAGCTACATCAAAAGCACTGGGGACGTCTGCAAACCCTACAGACTATTTACAAGATAATAAAACTGTTACATAACATGTAAATGCGTGTGCATGTGTGTGCAGCCTTGTCTCAAATTGAAAATCTCACTCCGGCCAGCTGAGCAAATTTGGCAGCGTTGGAGGACGGGGCCCAGTCTGCCTGTTACTCCCTGACGGTTCCCTCAGGCCAGGTGACGAGACAGCATGTCACGGTCCCAGCTGCTATGTCCTGCTTCCAGTTGGCAGTTCAGGTTAACAACAATCTAATAGATCAGCGGCCAGCTCAAACTGTGTGACTAACGTAAGCCCATCATTTCACACTGGGACAATCTCTTACTGTCCGCTGTTAAATGGGAGACTTTATGAAGATGCTACATATCGTCACTGTCTGCTGAAAGCCGTGTATATCCACTTTTAGACGCTTGTGACTTTTTACTATTGATGGAACGCACCCGTCCTCCTCTGTCTACTGACAGTGTTTGATATCTAAATGACTAATGAGAACAAGTTTTATGAATTCATCAACTAGTATTTATGACTGTACTACTTAACATTTGTATTCATGATGGTTTTGTTGTATGGGTTACTTTATATCACTAATTTAACATAACTTAACGCTGATAGCTAAACTAGCTAACCAACATCACTGGCAATTGTGAATATAAAGCGAGGTTAGTTTTTGATGCTGTTGACGCTGATATATTTCCCTCGCTGACAACAATCCAAGTAAGTCCATCTAAAACATGAAACCATTCACTGACAGCTGTGTAAAGATAGGTTTCTATTTGTGATGCTAAGGGTGTCTCATTATGTTGTTCTAGGTTTGTTTTGTAAAGTTCTTTCAGAGAAAATGTGCTTTTTTACACTCCTGAAATAATGGCATTTTGAAGATACAAGATTTTCATTAGACAGTGACGATACAGGCCTCATGAGAAATTGCGCCTTATCTCACAGCCAGACTGCTCTCCAATGGCAGGGCTGGTGTTCTGGGGAAGCGATTTAACCCAATTATACTCCTGGATTGACTTGCACGCCATAGTGCATTATCTGACAGCCTCCGGGGCTCCCTGGAGTCTATAAACTCTTTGGGTTACAAACTGCATCATTATTGTAGTGTCAACACCTACTTAACGATAAACAAAAATGGAAAAAATTCTGAAGAATATGGTGAAAAATAAGATTCATCATTTGTATTTTATTTTCTCCAATTAACAAACAGCACTTTACCATAAATCCTGTGACATGTTGTTCCAAATGGGAGATTATGTAGAACTTAATACAGTCGTATAGTGTACATTTTGTAGCTCTGAAACTGGATTGTTAACAAAGAAAACAGGCAGAAATAGAAGCTAATCTGTTACTGTTTTTCCTGGCAGTCGTCCCTCTCTGGGTCTTTCTCAGATTTATATCTCCTGCTTGTCAGTCTCTGGTGACAAACCCTACCTTCACCTCTCAGCACCGGGAGCGTCGGAGAGAGCAGCCCACAAGCTTAGCCTGAAACCCTCACTGCCATCACCGCAAGTATAACTCCATGCTGACATGAGCCGTGGGCTTCCAGCTAACGTCAACACGGCGCTGGGTAAATCCGATACAAACGGACGCCGTTTGGTTCCCTTTCGGGTGACTCGGTTCATCCGTGATTACGTCCAGCCCGTCTGTTTGCATCCCCATCAGCCTTAATTCTCGCGAAGAGGACCCTCCCCCCGCAACCCTCTGCAAGAGTGCCCCCCCCCCAAGCGTTTACATTTGGACTCTGAGTCCAGATGCGATGAGTCAAAGTGCACAAGCGGCGTCCAAACTAACAGAAAACGGAGCCACACCATCTAATCTTATGCAGGGCAGGGAGAAGAACTCTGGCTGCAATTTGATTCGCTGTCTACGTGGGTCTTTAAGGTGTGAGTGGCGGACAAGTATCCAAACTAAGGATCCAATCTAAATTCAGACGGCTGGCAATGGAAGGATACATCGATTAATGCGAGAACAGGTCTATGAAGAATGCAGAGCTACATTTGTGCGCAAAGAAGTCCAGCTGCGGTCCGCTTTAAATCCATGTACTTCAACTTCAAAAGCATCTAGCTAACCTTTATTTTTAGACGCTCAATGCAGTGATTGAATTGTCCCAAGGCCAAATTCGATGAAGGAAAACGGATCGCTGTCAAGGTGAATGTGGCCTGCTGGTGTGAGTCCTTAGAGGTGTGTGTGTGTGTGCATGTGTGTGTGTTTATGTGAGGGGAAAGTGGCAAAAGACCTACAGGCTGCAAAGAACACCCTCCCAACCCCCCCTCCCCACCCTACAGTGCAACGTGGCACGTTCCCCCTGCACAGGAAGAAAGGTTCCCATTGAGGGGGCTGACCGGCCCAGCCGCTCTGGAGCGACACTGGGGATTCCTGTGTGTTTGTTTATGTAAAACGCTGCTCCTCAAGGCTAGCAGGCTGAAAGACATCTGTTTGTTTCTGACGAGATCCTCAGCTGACAAGCCCTCAGAAACCGTGAAGCAAAACAACAGCAGAACCTCGAGCAGCAGAGTGAAAAAAAACAGAGCTTAGCTCATCAGAGGCTGATTTTGCCCAACTACTACAGCGGAGCTGTTCAGCACCACTGCATCTCTGCAAAACAGCCTTCTGCCGTTTCTTTAATCCTAAGGACTGCGGAACATCACTCCCACCAAATGATTGCTCAATGCCGTCTGACTGCAGAGCCTGCACTCTGCTGCCCGCCACAGAAACGCGGTCTCTCTTCTCTCCACTTTCATTTTGACTGAAATGGAATTATAGCACTAACCAAAATGTCACAGGGTCAGAAATTAATCCGGAGACAAGACACAGATCATGCAAGCTCAGATGAGGACATTGCTGCATAAGCCCAAAGAAATGAGAAGAAAATTCACACAAGTTCCTCCCAAACCACCTACCTATGATCTAATAATTGAGGTTTTGCCAGGACATGGGAGGAACAGAGCGGGTTTGAGTTCTCACTGGGCACTGGCACAGCCCAGTGTGATTATGGGATAGAATGCAAACCCAGTGACATGTGACGCCCGTGTCCAGTGCTTCCCAGCAGCAGCCACTGGAGTAGTAATGGGTCAACTAAAGAATATTCCAGGCAAATGTTCCCCGGTTCCTCCAACTTCCTTCATAAATCTGCAGATGCCAAGCGTGCATGCAAGGTCCTGGACCAGTAAGTATTTATTTAATGTCAGACAGCTAAAATAAAGTGCATGATTTCAGTCAGTCAGTCAGTCAGGGTGCATAAAGTTGATTTGGAATTTATCCAGGTAAAAAAACAGGTAGTACCAAAAAGGCCAGAGTTCAGGGGAACATTGGTGCCGTTTACGTTGGCAGATGGCTATCCGGGTCCCGACGCATCAAGAACAGCAGAGGTTATTTAGAAAGACCAGCTTCTATCTCCGGGGCATTTTTAAGGATTGGCATTCTCACAAAACCTAATTAGCAAGTTCCTCAATCTCCCTGCTGCTCTTCCCCTATTTTCATCACTCCAGACTCCGTTTTACTGGTGCCTCTCCTGACATTAAAGTCCTCATTTTCTCCATTTTAAGAGCAGCCGAGCCTTGCCAGCCACCACCTCACCGCGGTTCACTTACAGGCAAACCGTAACGCACCTCCGCTAAACTCTGGACTGGGCCCCAAGAGGACTTTTACTGTTACAAGATCATAGCAGCCAGGCTCATAGAAAGAGGTGCAGTGTAAGGCACATCAGCAATTTGGTGTTGGGTAATAAGAGGCCAATTCACGTTGCGCTGCCATCCTGAGAGACTGAAGGCTGTAATCCTTTTAATTACAGAGAGAGCAGCTATTTGGGACACAAAACACACAGCACCATAAACCGGCTGCCGCTTGAATCAAACCCAGAATGTTAAAACAGTGAAAGCTCTTAAAAGTACCAATTTGTAACTGAAAACACACAAAGAAACCAGGAGGAAGTCACTACCCAACACTGCTGAATCTAGAAATAACAGTTGCAAAATTTTTTCTTCCCCTCTTTTCAAACATACACCAGGACCACCCGATTTAATTTCTGAAACGTGTTTTAAGATGTTCTGGGGGCTAGCTGGAATGTTGATGAACATCGGAGAAACCCCCAGCCTATTAGTATAAAGTTCAATGGACGTTAATGTGATAGGAAGCTGTTCGCACTGCCGACCAAAGCCTGCATCAGCACTGAGCAAACAAACGCTTTTTAGAGCCGCTGCTTCATTTCCCGTGACCCTGACCTCTGGCACAGCTTTGAAAATGCACTCCAGGCCTTCCCCACGGCCCTACAGAGGAGTCCTGTGTGCACGCCTCAGCATTTCGGCACAGTGACCCGCGGCCTGACGACGACTTTCCGCGCCCTGTTCTATTTCTAACTTGCCTGCTAAAAGGAGGGAAATATCACACCAGCCAGCTAATACTGTCAAGAGCAAAGGCTCTGACGTTAATGCTCTGGGCTTTCACTGTGTCCATTGAGGGAGCTTGTAGATAATGCTGACAAAAAAACTAGCACAATAATTTAAGAAATAGCTAGAAATGATACACGCAGAATGTACAGGAGAGTGTCGAGAATGTTGTGAAGTGTTTGCTGTCTCCAGCTAATTCAGAGCATGATAATAATAATACCGGTTTAGCTGACTTATGTCATGAGTTACAATGAGTGCTTCTCTGTTCACAGGCATTGTTTCTCCGTCTGTTTTTGATTGCTTGCAAGGATAGTTCCTCCACTTTCAAAAAGCCCCTTTCACAGACTGCACTTTCAGGGATTGCATTTGTTTGCAAAGATTGTTTCTCAGCGTGTCTCCGACTATTTGCAAAAAATTGACTTTGGAGATTTTAAAGACTTTTTGTCATCACTAAAGAGGTCACTTAGGGAAGACGAGTCACATAGACTGCTGTGTGCTGGAGGATTAGCTGTAGAGGTTAAGGTCCCACCTGATAGCACACGAATGTTCACACCGACAAAATACATACAGGTACACATGTGGAAACACAAATAAACTTTGAAGAGAGGTTAGAGCAGTGCTAACAGTACTTACCATTGGTCCTGGCTCTCCCTTCAGTCCCGGAGGTCCAGCCAAGAGTGAATAATGAGTCACTTCCAGGTCATAGGTCTGGTAGCCGTCAGTGGCCGCTGGTGTGACTGGCGCGAAAGTGGGTTTGGCGTAGTGCGGGGTGGTCCGCGTTGGCTGGGGGTTCTTCTTGGCTACCGTGGGCCTCGTTGGGATGGTAGTACTGGTCACAGCCGTGCCGCTGCTTCTGGCTTCCTTGCCGGCAGCTTTTCCGGCCGTGGCTTTCTTTGTAGTACCGCGAGTCGTGGGTTTTGGCCGTTTCGGAGCAGGTGTCTTTGGGGAAGCCGTGCTGGTCCTGAGGGGAGCGGTGACCGTGGGCGTGTGGGCCGGCGATGGCCGCTGGAGGCCGTGCACTTGGACGGTAGGGCCCATGGTGCTGCGGATGGATGGGGTCGTGACGGTGGGGCGAGTCGCCTTGCCCTGGCGCACTGCGGTGTAGTTGATGGCTGGGATCCGGCTTGGTCGGACCACATGCTTAACAGTGGTTCCGACACGGGTCAGAGCCAGGCTTGAGGTGAAGGCTTTCTTAGTGACCTCAGTCAAGGACGGCGGGGTGTTGGAGGGAACAGTAACATTAGAATGTCGAGGCAAAAGGGGAATGAGGGGAGGCAGATTGGCCCGGTATGTGTCCGCTTCCCTGCATTGTTTCTTAATGTACTTACAATAGTTGTGAGCTGCCTTGGCAGAGGGATAAATATCGAACTGACAGATGGCACCTTCGAACTGCACTGAATTTTGATTCATTTTACCCAAGAGGAAGGAGCCCTCAGGGTCCAGAGTCTCCTCTTTTTTAAAATGCAAATCTGCATGTACAAGATGCTTCCCACAAGAAGTAAATAAGGTGACCTTCTGGTCCCGGATATCCATAGCCAGGTTGTGCCACTGGCCATCATGAACGTCATAGTCAAAATATACAGACTTCTTCTGCCCCACGTAGACGACGATCTTCCCGGGGACGAACTGCACCCCCAGCTGCAGCTTCTTCTTCTTTGACACGATGCTGAAGAGGAAGGCACTGTTGACACGGTGGGAGCACAGGCTCAGGACCAGAGCCAAGTTGGTGCCGTAGCTGGGGGGGACCACTGTGCCCACCGGCGCCTCCACGCGTGCCCGCTGGTTGAGGATGACGCCCGACTTGAACGGGATGACCCCGTGAGGAAGGGGGCGGGACCCTGTGGATGCTGGTGGAGGCTTCTTCCCAGTGAGGCCCAGCCTTTGGAGAATGTCCACATCTGTGGGGGGGTAGCAGAAAAGAAAAGGCAAATGACCCAGGCTGTTCCATTGTTCCACTGATTTCTAAACATATCATAGCTTACATTCTCTTAAAGCTACACATCATCCTTATTAGGTCACTGGAAATACCTTGTAGCCAAGCTCAAGACTTTGGTGCTTCCTTAAGTTTCCAAGGGAGCGGTTAGGGCTACTCGATTATGGCAAAAATCATGATTATTCTGGTTCGCAGTGAGATCATGATTATTTAACACAATTACTCATTGACTCATTGAAGAATATCATGCATTTATTGAACTTAAAAAAACTTGTCTTTTTAACAGTGGCTTTTCTTGAGCTCAGCTGAATATAATTGCAATATGCATAATTCATATTGTGGTGTCAGCCAATCACAACCCAATCACTCACATCTATGGGCAATCTGATAACTCCAATTAGCCTCAGCATGCTTTTGGACTGTGGGGAAGGAAACCCCATGATGACACGGAGAGAACATGTAAACTTCACACATGTGGAGCCATGGTGGAGACTCAAACTGAGGGCCCAGAGGTGCAAGGCAACAGCGCTAACCACTGCGCCACTGCACCACTGCGCCACCCCTATACACTGGCTTTAGCATCTTCATTGATATAATGATAAGTAGATAAAAATGTTTGAGGACAGCTTCCACTTCCTTTGCAGGTAAGATCAGTTCAGGGCATTGAACGGTTAGAAAAGGGTGCCTCTTATCATAGGTACTGAGCTGCCTTATCATTAGCAGAAAATGTATTTTTAGGTTTTTTCTATAACTCCAGCTCGGCATGCTTTATGCACCTGCTTAGGGTTAGTACTGTATCTACAGCTCTTCCTGTGAATGTTCCCACAGACCTGCCTAGAAATCAGCACAGATTAACCCTTTAAACCTTTATCTGAAACAGTGATACCCCAGCCATTAACTATCACTGCAAAAGCTAGAGGACACCCTATTAACACGAACTACACAGCTGACATTGCTGACAGGCAACGTATACATCAACACCAGTAGAGCCCCCCCTCCCCCACCACCAGGCCCCCAGAAAACCTGTGACCAATCTGCGTCCAGGATAAGGAGCCAACAGTATGTTAGTGCTGTGCCTGTTATAGGAAAGTCGTAGGTTTGAATCCCAGCGTTAGCATGATGATGTCATCACTGGGCCCTTGAGCGAGGCCCTCAACCCCAATCGCTGACCCTGTTTTCTCAATTAGATGCCAGTTTGTATAAATGCGTCTACTAAATAAACAAAATTGCATCTATATAATCTTTAAGGGTGGGTGGTGTCTGTGACCACTGGCTGACATATCAGGGCCAGCAGAGTGATGTCAACACTGGGCCCTGAACACAGGTGCCATCTGACCCTGCCTTCTCTTAAAAAAGTATGTTGCTTTGGATAAAAGCATTTGCTAATAAATAAAATGCATCAAATAATTCCTCATTAAATGTCAAGGCTGGCCTGTTTATGTTATTCCAGGGAACCTCAGCAAATATACATTGTATATACACCAGAAGCCTAAGGCAGTGGAAATGATCTTCATGTTTGAGTGACACTATGATATCACCTCTGTCACAGTGTGTCAGCTTAGCCGATCCGACCCCCCCACTAACGTCACCCCAGGGTTTCTAGCACCCACCCACTGCACCCATATTTTTTGACTTGACTTTTTAGACAAATTAAATTAAATAATTTAATGAATTAAATGAGCTGATGGTGAAATTTAACGAAGACATTGAATGGCCGGGGTGCCCCTGAAGAGAGGTTTGGGAACTGAAGCGGTGTTCATCTAGCCGTCCAACGAGATCTCAGTAACTTTCTAGAAAACAGAAGAAATCCTCGTTTTGAGTTTTACTGGGTTATTGTTCATTTGCATAGGATATAGGTACCGTAATGTTAAATTGAGTTTTTTTCTGAGCAAATAAAGTTACTAGCCAGAAAAATAATTTAAGCATTTTATTTGTCTGCCTACGACTTTTCATAGTGCTGTACATCAAATAAATGCCCAGCAAAGATATGGCGAGGATTCCATACAGTGGAAAATGGAGCTCGCTATACGCGTGGTATGACACACTGACCAGTAAGCAATAAGACCTCCCCCATTTAGAAAACCTTCAGGTGAATTTTTACTGTCAACAAAACAGAGTATCCTAAGTGTCTGGCTGGCTTTGACTATCCAAATTATTTACTTAAGTAATTTCTGCTTCTGCTCACTTAACTTTTTATGTCCCATGTCAGACTTCAGGCACCCAGATTGAATGTCAGTACCAAGCTTCACTCCAAGGTGGGAGAACACGCTCCCACCTTAGCAGAGATGCTCACCAGCCAAGATTGCCAAGAGGGGTGCAGGTCCTTATAGGTGTGGTAAAAATACTGCACATTGGAACCATCTTGCATTAAGGCTACAGTAGATGTGCCTGCCTTTGCAAATTAAACAGATGAGGGCACCATGAGGAGAGACCAGCATTACAGAAAATCACCTGCGACTCAGTGAGATCTATAGGACTCATTTATAACCTTTGGAAAGTAAGTAAATGGTGATGCTGCAGCCTTCTTTAATGGAGAGCTGTCTTCACAGTGCTAAGGGACGTCTAGAAGCACCTTTGCTGTTGACCCCCCATTCAATGACCTCATACCAAACTGCAGCTGATATGATTAAAGGCTTGATGACTCACTTTTACAGCACACACACACACACACACACACACACGCATATTTAAGCGTTCAAGCTTTAACAATTAGTGTCATGGGGGGGCTCAAATTGGGCCCAGGACACAGCAGAATTCCTGCCCGCCACCAGCATACAACTTCCAAAAACCAGGACCGACTGCTGCCAGTACAGAGGCGACAATCAGGAGGTAACGTGACACACCTCCACATGCCAGCTTCAAGCGGAGGCCCAAGGTCATGTGACATCGGTAGGTCAGCATGAAGTTGAAAGGCCAGTTGTTTTGAGTCTTGGGTATGTTATACCACAATGCAACTGGAAGACATGCAGGCGATAGCTGACAATGCGAGGAACTGGTCTTGAGTTCCACAGAAAAATCTATCTAAGATTCATGAAATTCTAGGCTTTTCCCATAACCTTCGCATCACACCTTTCACAGGGCATCCAACTCGCCAGAATCCCACCAGCCCATATGATTATAACTTATTTTTGGGGGGAAAACTGTGCCAAAGGGGTCATATGCATAAGATAAAGCCGTTTCGGCAAATTATAATTGGTGGAACAATCTTATGCACCGAAGAGCAGGGTGTTCAAAAAAACAGACTCAGCAAAAACAGCCACTTGTACCAGGGAGAATAATATTGGCTAAAATGATTAATCCAGTTGCAGTGGGTAAGGCTGTATCAGTGTCACACACATGGAAGTAATGTAGAACAGGATGGGCCATTGAGAGAAGCAAAAAAAAAAAACAGTGGAAAACTATAAGCAATCATTGACTGCAGCTAAAATTTGACAGCTCACTCGTAAGATATTCATGAACAAGGGGCCCCTTGCCTAATTTTACATGGAAACCACATTCTTGGGATCCCCAAGAGAACCAGCAAAGTCTAGGAAACATCATCCGTCGGCTGCTACATGTAGACACTCGGAGTAGAAAATGTCGAGCACCACTGGACAGCTTCAGCTGGGTGTAATGTCGAGCACCACTGGACAGCTTCAGCTGGGTGTAATGTCGAGCAGCACTGGACAGCTTCAGCTGGGTGAAATGTCGAGCACCACTGGACAGCTTCAGCTGGGTGAAATGTCGAGCACCACTGGACAGCTTCAGCTGGGTGTAATGTTGAGGGACCGCTGTGCAGAATCCTCCTTTGGATCTGGGGTGTTCCTGCAGTGGGCTTAGGGCACTCTCAGGAAGACCGAAAAATAAATGAAGGCTTCCTAACATACTGCAGACTGAAATGAAAACTAATAAACTTGGACCAAAAACAAAACTGAAATGTTTAGATTTTTTTTATATAGAGAGTGCCACATGGTTGTTTCCTTAGTAGTAATTTTGGCCTACCCAGATGTAGACAAACGTAATGAAACAATACAGTAGTGCATATCAGTCTGGTGGATAGACCTTATTTCTATATCGTGTGGCATTTCATGATTAGCTTGGCTACAAATGCTGCCGTCATGATCGGGACTCTTTCTCTGCAGCAGAGGAGTGCGAACACGGCGCCCAGGCAGTCTAGGACGATGCGGAATTGCGAAATGCCTTTGTCGGCTCCTTCTAAGTCGGCATTAGCTAATCTCTGGAGAATTTCAATAAAGTCGAAAACAAAAAAAGAGCCGCTTGGTTTATATGTTTTTAAAAAATCAAGGTCGCATAGCTCTAACGGAAGCCCTTGAAGTCCTTCGTCGGTTATGCAGGGGAGTAACTGAAGTTTTGAGATCAGATACAGAGCTCTCCCTGGCCCCCTGACAAACCATCTGATCAATAACTCCATGGGAAGCAGCCAGGGGACAGATCTCACTCTGCTGGGCTCATCATCTACCACAGAATAGCTCAGGCAGGCTGCACTGTTTCCTTCATCAGTGTCTGGAGAGGAAGCCCCGTTTGAGAAGTTACGAAACGGTAGACAGGGCCTGGACAGGACAGAACCATCCTTCAGCCAGGCTCCAGCTCTGCCTTCCAGCTGCAGTCACAATAAAGGAGGCTAAATCCGCATATCGCAATTCAGCATGAATCCGGTGATTTACAAACGGTTCCCTGCTGATGCATGGCGACTGCTTGGTTGAGCTTCACTGGGTCTTTTCCTTCCCAATGGAAATCTGAGAAAATAAACTGGGTCCACAACTTGTTCTTAGCATGGCTGCCCTCCATGTTGCGCGGCTCGTTTTTCATATGAGTGTATTGTTGCCTCTTTATTGGGTGGGGGGGTCTCAGGGTACCTTCAATGGACAAAGGTTAAATATGCGTCCAATGAATGCGATGATGAACTTGATGCTAAATCATCCAGAGCAAAGTCCTCATAAATATTGCAGTGCCAATATTGAATAATGTCAATAATCAGACCTTTACAGCCTCTGCTATAAAACATCACACTGATCATCTACTACTCATTTGTACGCTGTTTAAAAAAAATACAGTAAATTTGAACTTAGGGTTATGGCACTTATATAGCCTGTTAGTTGCCCCTCATTCCCCAGATGTGTCCACATGCCACAGGTTATTGAACTCTATACACCATACTTTTACACTTCAATGAATATTATACTCAATAACAGGGATGTAACGATAAACGAAATATCGCAATATCGTGATAAAAAAATACCTCGAAACCATTGTCGGACCGTTCCGATATCAACCAAGATATCACGTGTGTAATCCACATTAAATCCATTACAAAACAACTATTGCAACAATAATTTATAATTTGGTCCAATAGGAACAAAAACCCATTTACAGTATATTAACAAAACGGTAACTTATCTCTTTAAGGAAAAAAGACGATTGCATGCAGATTGTGAGGTGATGTCACGCAGTAACGTGGAGCGCGCGGGTCGTTTCTTTGCAGAAGCGGTTGAGGCCGGCTGCAGCGAGTGCTGCCATAGGATTTAGAATATGGTAAAAAAAAAACTTACGAAACTTGATTTTACAGCTTAGGTAGTGTAAGAAGATTTTTTTTAATTAACTAAAGGAAAAGGAAGATGGAAGAAATGTTTTAAACCATGATAAATAGTTTTTTTCTGGTGCTACATTGACACTTCCGAAGATTTGAAACGGATATTCCTGCATGTGCTTCGCCGAACAGGGACCCACCGAACGGAGCTCATAGCAGGATGGCGAGCTGGACCCATGGAGCAACGGTATAGGATGAGTAGAGGGAACTTTGAATGTCTTACAACGTGTGCAGTTAGGATATGATGGACTGAATTGAACTGTTTATTAACATTTGGACATTGTTATGCCTGAATTGAACGGTATGTTAAACGTTCACTGTTTTCACGCATTATTTAGCGTGTTAGTATGCATGGGCGTGGCCTATATTTCACCTGGTGAAAACAGAGCCAGCGGAAAAATGGCAGAAAACACTACTTTGGAATTGCAGATTGTGTTTTGATTAAAAAATCAAGCTGCTGCAGTAATAATTTATATTTTATAAAGGAACTACTGGCTGCTTGTTTTTGTTTTATAATTACATGCATTGTTCAGTCATTCATTGCAGAGGACAATTACTGCTAAGTTCTGGCAAAGGCTTAAGGTCATAGCTGGATATTTCACTAACAAAGAAAAGCAGAAGCACTTTATGTTAAAAGGAAGAACTAATTTGATGTAAATAAACATGTCGATTATTAATCAAAAGGGTTTTTTAAAGATTGTGATAATTATCGTATCATTTTTATCGTATCAACATTTTATCGCGATATTATCGTGCCTTGAATTTTTGGTATCATTACATCCCTACTCAATAATAATAATATTATCCGATTTCACAGCAACTGAAGTTTAGCTTCTCCCTAAACGTTATAGCTTTGGGAGTAGTTAACGGCCTGTTTAGTGTCCTTGTCAAATAGAAGTGTGTGTGAAATCCACTGGGTTTAACAACATTACCAGCCCAATATCATGCTAGCATTAATTACAACAACTGCACATTAAAATTTTATTATTATATAGGTTAACAGTATGATTGGGGGAAAAAAACGCAAAGCCAGGTATTTCAGTTTCTGATTTATGCACTTCCTGCTGAATATCGGTGAATCTGTCTGCAACCTCAGTCTGGCTTTAAACCCTGGCTGCAACCCTCCATGAAAAAGGACGTCTACCGCTAGTCCTGGCTGAGTGATCGGTGTCTTATTGCCGATTATGTCATAATCATATAACGCCGTGACACTTCCATTAAGAAGCACCAATTTTTTTTTTGCGCTTTGTTTAACAGTTCTGTTTCGAGGTAATTTCCTTTGGCAGCGTCCCTGAGCTCGGAGAGCCAACCGAGCAATACTACAGCCCTAAATCAGCCCTAAATAGCATTCGTGTGACTAATACAACAATAGCTCCATAAGAGTCAGAATATAAAAGCCGAAATGCTGCACACACACATTTTACCGGTAGCAAGAGAACTTGTTCCATTCAGTTTTATTATGGTTTCCTCATAAACAGGGACTGACAAACAGATTCACAAATGAATGCCTGAATGATGAATGTCTTACCTTCAGACTGTACTTGTGCAAGTCCCAGGTAACAAGTACAATATAAAACAGTACAGAGAATTAAGGCTCTCCTGTGAAAAGAAAAGAGAAAGATGGTTAGGAATGATCACAGCTAGCTAACACTGCCAAGAAGAACAAAAGTTGTGTTAAAATTCCCTGAAGTTGATATTATTGGTACGATGGCCGGGGGGGCAGGGCTACTTGACCCCCAGCTCCCTGCACATGAAAAATTTTACAGAAAGACCCCCCGCCCCAATAAATCTACAGGGGTAACTGGTTACACGGCAGTGGGCCAGAGAATGGCGTCAGTGAATACGACATGGGGACATGGGGACATGGGGGAGATGTTTGGTGAAAAGCCGAGAGTCGTAGTGCTGTCGCGTGTCTTTATTGGGCGGACCGCCACTTTTTTCCATGTGGGATAACACATTGTTCAGGCGTGGGAGTGGGGGGGCGGGGGGGTGGTTGGCTCACATGCTGGGAGTCAGAAACATCTCACAGCTTCCAGTGAAGCCGATTCACCTGTACGAGTGGAAACAGGAAGTGTGCCAGCAGGATCCAGCGGTCCCACCAGGCTCGCCCACTTTACACATCACTCCCCTCCCCTTCCAGCTGTAATTGGCGGGGGGGCTACACCCACACCACTTCCCCGGCCAGGGCAGCTGTCTGCAGTTGCCGAACAGCCTCGGGGGGGCCTATTCTCAGCCACGAGGAAAGCCACTGGCTGCAGGGTGAGTCATCTCAGCCATTGGTTCCTCCGTGGAACTCGGCTAAGGCGAGACGACTGCAGTGGGGGTGCCTCTGGGGTGGGGGGGGGGGTTAGAACTGGAAACAGAAAGCTAAAACACAGCAGGGCTGCTGGGGGCCCTAGAGGCCACATGCCGTGCGGGGAAAGGGGGCCGTGATCACGCCGGGTACGCGGCGGACGCCGCTAATGCAGTGACCAGGGAGGGCCTGAACTTCAGGCATTTTCGCTTTGGCAAGACTGATACTGAGCAGATGGGTTTTCTGCTCTGAAAGGCTCCCATAGTCAGCAGACTCCCCACAGTCCCAAGGCAGGAGAGCAAATCTAATACTCATACTAATACAGCTGCATATGTTTCTGTTTCTGCAATCTAGTTAAAAATACCATCAGTCAACCAATTCTGCTTATTACAGGCAAATGTTAATTCATTGTTTCATTGCTTGCTTGACTATTCTTCATAAGGTGCTGAGACTCCCACCACTGCTTTTATACGGCATTATTACATGTTTTTAATCCATTATGAAATCTGGCTCACAGGTCGATCTTTCTATTTTCCGTTTGTTATTTTTCATTTGAGTGATCTGCATACACTTGGCTTTCTTATAGATTAGCAAAATACAGATGCTATATTGTTTTTTTTTTAATTCTCTCTCGTTTCTCTTTCAAATTACAAAAAATAGATCTAGTGGCCCCCTTGAGAGAAAACCTTGCAGCCAGTGGCCCGCAGGTAATTTGACTTTGAGGCCCTTGACTTAATGAACGCAGCATCATCCATCCATCTATCTTCCTGAAGCGCTTACCCAGCAGAGGAGCACGGTTGGGCTAACCCCAGGAAATCCCCAGGACAAGGGAGCAGACACTTTAGAAGGGGGGGGGGGGCATTCGCAGGGCACAGACACACAAACTCACGGAGCACCAAATCCTATAAAATACCCCACACCTGGGGGGCATAATCAACATGGCCCCCAAAAACGACCACGTCAAGGCAAAAGTCCTTTCAAATAAAAGTTTCATTTTGCATGAAACTATAAACATCCACATTTTAACATCCAAATAAATGAAACATTAATATTAATCTTCTTTTACTGAGAATTTGTACATGGGAGAGGAGTTTTAATGTGCTCCAGTAATGTCTGGCACGTGGACCAGGAACATCCCTGATCTTCGGGTATTAATAAGAAGACAAACTGAGGTCAAGTTGTATAGATCACAGTAATTAAGCCTTTATAGATGAGTAAGTCATTGGTGTATTCATACATTTGCTCATGGTGCCAAAGGTGTTAAAGATTGGCGTGAAATTAGCGGAATTTGCACGGACCATTGTTGAATTTTATTTATCCGTTACGTTTTCCCAGGAGGATTTGGAAAATGGATGGATGGATGTTAACATGTTTCGAATTTTCAAAAATGAAAATCTGATAGCTAATCTGTCTCTTCCAGACACGAGTACATCATCTGGACGTTTAGAAAAAAACGAATCTCCCACTATTTTCAGAACCTGAGGGCAAAATGCTTCAGGTGCTAAGCCTACCCTCAGCTCATGCCCCAACTGAACTGGCTTCTCTGCCCTCCGGTGCTCTTCGTGGGGGGGGGCGGCGGAGTAAGGGAGGGCTGTCAAGGGAGGAGAATCGCATCGCCCTGCCTCCAATCACCTGCCGTCTTATTTTTGCCAGAATGGCACCAAAAAACATAGATGACAAGCACTTCCTGGTTGGTTAAAGGCAATTTTAATTACAGCCTCTCATGGCTTCGGCCTGCTGGCGTGAAACTCTGGAGCTTTTCGCCATCTAGTATCTAGTGATACTCTCAAGCAAAGCCTGCTGAGAGCACGAGTACCTTCTCTGCCTAATGAAGAGCTGGCGAAATAGACACCAACCTCACTGGAGAGCTGGGAATCAAACCAGATCGTTCCAAGGAACTCACTGACCCCCCCCCATCCCCCGCCCCCCAATCCCCCGCTTTGATGACATCCCTGGGTCCGCAGCCAACCTCAGCCGAGCCACCCAGCTGCTTGGTACCCACCCAAAAACCAGGATGAGACTCATATGCTTGTCTAATTTAAACAGTATTACGGGGTAATACCTTCAAACTCCTATCTTCTTCCCCTTTGCGTCTCATTTAATTTGCATGTGCCAGTCACATCGCTGAACCCTCAGTGCAGAAGAAATGAATTCTGCCCAGTCAGCAGAAACACGACATTGAGGGAAACACGAAACGACTCTCCAGGATTTCAGCATGATACAGCAAAATAACAGTTTTTTCTTTCATGATCCTCCCACTTATTGTTACACTTTGTTTTTTTTTTTTCCTTTTTTCCATTTCTTATATCTTGGCATAAAAAAGGTTTGTCTGAAGGAAATCCAAGGACCCCCATGCAGAATCTGCAGCTAAAAGCCAGAGTCCCCATCTGCAGCTAAGAGCCAGAGCAGTGGAAAATTCCGGTTATTCACAAGCACCAAGGGACTTTGTGGGTGGGGGGGGCAGAGGGGCTTCCCTTACTAACACTAAATGCCAGTGATTGTCCACCCACTAAAGTGACCGTTCAAGTTAACAGGACTTCACTAACATCTCCTCAAAATAACCACAAAATGTGAGAAGCTATTCTACACCCTGATTGCCAGACATATATTTGTTTGCAACGACATTTTGGTAGGCCTACTTTTTTGTACCAGTCAGTGTAAAAATTGAGCAGATATTGTGCTTTTTAGGACTGTGTGTTTTGTTGTCGAGAATTCCTGTCAATGATAAGTACTTATCCCACGCGAACATCTGGCAAAGATGAATGAGTCATGTCGGCATCTAGCGGTAAGGATACGGCACTGCCGAGGATTCATAAAGGATTTCATACATGGGTAAGAGAGGCAGATAAAATACACTAAAATAATCTACCAAGGACTGCGACAGAAGACCCATTGTGACACTTACTATAAGAAAGGGCTCACAATCACAATGTAAATAACGCGATCTAAATAACTTGGATAACAATGCAGCCTACGTAAATTACAAAGAACAAATTTTAATTCAGAAATTCATATCTAATATTTAAGAAATACTTTGAGTTGCTATTCAGATGAGTCAGTTTTATGTTTAAAAAGTCAACAAAGCAAAACAAAAACCGTAGCCCCAAGCCAAACTACTCAACACGATAACATTCTCATAAACACACCTGAATGAATATGCATATCTGTCATTCATATCACTTTTATCTGCTGTACAGCGCCAAGACGATGTTAGAAAGCAAATGATCCGAATCCCATTCTGTTCCAGCAAGGCTTAAAATAATCCTCTTAAAACACTATCGAGAGTAAAAAAAAGTTTAGTAGTAAAGGCGCATTTAAAAATAAAGTCCGTTTACGGAACATCTGGTTGGATAAAAACCCGTCATTGATTTACAAACGACTGTAATCGCAAATACCCAAAGTCAGTTGAGCTAGTCTTAAAGAAAAAGATCTACTGTATATGACTACATCTATTGAACCACTAATCGCCTGTACTTATTTATGCAACTCTGTTTTAGATTCTAAGTGATATTTGTTACATTGTTATTGTTGTTACAATGTTGTCTTCGTTTATCTAGGGATTTTGTACTGAAGACCACAGCACCACTGCTGCAAGCGTTATTTTCAATAATCGTGTTTCTTAAGATAATATAAAAAATATCTCGTATCAATAAAGCGGTACGCATACAGAAGCACTTCCGATTGCCTAAAGAATGAGTGTCACAACTCAAAATATCTTACAAATCATAAGACACGGTAAGACTATCGGCTAAACATCTTTCCTTCATTCATTCGAGCCTTCAGCCTGCTCACCATTGTGTTAATAAAGGTCTTGACCAATGCATTTTATGAAACACACAAGATCGTAGGAGTTAAACATACGGTATCCGTGTGCGATGCAGAGCGTACATCAAAATACGGACACGTGTGTGCTTTTAAAATGCCACTACGGAATCGAAATAAGGCGTACGAAGTGGAACCAGCTATTGACAGTTACTCCCCTCGAATCAGCTAAGAATGACCGTGCAGAGCAGTAGTTCTTACTCACCCCCCGACTCCAGCTGGTTTGAGTTTGGAGTCCGGGGCATTATGCGGCTCCATCGCTGTTACTTCATTCTTTCTTGTGATTTTTTACAACAGTCCCGCCTTGACCATATTATGCGCTCTCCTTCCATTCCAGCCGGTGCCCAACAGCTTTCTGACAACGCACTAAGAAGGCGCAGAATAACCTATCAGTCGCTGTCCTTTTATTTTGCGCGATATTACCTGCCCTGCGGAGAAGTGTCGGGAGACCTAGCGGCGGGGATCTCCATCTGTGAGTCGGCACGGAGCCCGCAAGCCACGCATCGGCACGCAGAGCGGCGCCGAGTCCCGCAAACGCATCAGCGAGCCGTTATGGCGAGCGCTCCGTGTGCTCCGCCGACAGATAGCTCGCTGCTAAATATGCAGCTCAGAAAAGATTTTCCAGTTTGCCAAGGCGAACGGAGGATAAGGACGTGGAGCCCCCTCTCTCTACTGCCCTCCGCTGTCTTTATAAAGAAAATATCCGTAACTCAGCAGACCTGTAACTGAGCACAACTTAAGGCTGCACGAAGCTGTTACGTTGTCGCAGTCTCTTTCCCGATCCTTCACACGCCTCTTAATGCTTATCATTTCTTTTTAAAACATTTGTGTAGGCGTGTGATACGAGATCGCTCCGACTGCAGTGTCCCGAAACATTAATGAGAATACAGCCCATGTCACACCACGTTACAAAGCATTCCGGGAAAAGCCAAAGCGACACTTACTTTGTGGCGAGTAGAGAGGTTCTGCAATCTCTCCTTCGGGTCTCTAAATTCATTTGTATTCATTTGTCCCGGCAGTCAAAAACCTGATCCTTTTAATCACAGCGTGACTCCTTAGCTAGGGGAAGAAAATCAGCGACGGCCTTCCTACACATTGGATAAGTTTGTACCGGCGATCCAGAAGGATGTTCTACAGATCGCTGCGGAGACACCAGCATAAATCCCTATTTTCTGCAGATGAGTTTGTGCAGGAAATGTCCACTCATGGGTTTTTTTCAGTTGATTTCCCCTTGTGACTTATTCATTTATGCCAATCCGGAATTGGTACTTGTAACTGTAGGAAGATTGGTTGTTGGGGTGGGAAAGGAGGGGGGGTCGAAATCAGAAGTCTCGCTTTGAAAGCGAGGGGCACATCATCCTTTTCGCTTTTAAATAGTTCTTAAGAGGATGACTTGGGCATAGGCGACACCAGGTGTCGGGTTACAGCGGCGGTTCCGATCGAGCAGCGTACACACCGCCTCTAGGGGCAGAGTACACCAGAACCAGAACTGCGCGCGTACAGTGCATGCGACTGACCGGCGGGCGCTCCTGCTCGTCCCCGTCCGAATCGGGAGCGCCTGGCGTGCACTGCGGCTCAGAGGACAGCTGCATTATCCCGGACCTGGTGTACAGTGTTGTCACACCCGAATCAAACTCCTGCGACAGTCTACTGGTGTTTGTAAACAAGGCTGTTGTGTCCTGTTTTGTATAAATCGTTTGAACAGTCGTTTAAGTAGTTCTTCGCTTGGTACTTTGAGACGTAAGCACCGGTATATTTTTATTATTACATTCTCGTACATTTGTATAGTTTCATTTTAATAGGAACTCACTATTGACCAGACGGGTCCACCACACATACTACCGATATATTTCACATTTATAAAGACAAACCCATCGGCCCACCGAGAAAATGCTCTGCTTTCATTATGTGAAACGGGAAAACCGCAAAGCATGTAATATATAGCCCAACACATTTCACCTGCATTTATGTCCTATTGTGATCCATCCATTGCAATGCAGGGGGCCTGCTTACGAGGATGGTCTTTCATGTAAAGCAGTTGATTAATATTAGTTTAACCCCTTACCTTCAATAGTGTCAATGGAAGTATTTTCATGTACTTTCTAAATGTGAAAGAAAACCTTGATTGGATACAGTCTTTTCTTGGAATCCATGTTTCAGTTCAGTATATATCTGTCGTTATATTTTGATGTTTTTTTTTTCAGCTTTTATAATTAATGTCCAAATGTGACTTGACCAGGACAAATTCATTTTTAAATTCAATTTTGATGTCCAGCAGCAGATATGATTATGTAAGACCATTTAATCTTAGGGTTTTCTGGTGTTGCTCCCAGCTACATCGGTCTCCCAAAGGATCGGATGAGATTTTTCAGCAGTACTGCAATGGCTGGAAGTGCCTGGGTGAATCGCTTAGGGTCAGAGGTCAGGGTGGGGCCCTGGCTTAGCCGTCTGTCACATGCTCGGACATGTTAGCTAACTTCAGCCACTCTGCAGTGCGGATTTCGTCTGGGGATAACGGATATACTGTATGTCAATGCCCATGAACTTTTCAGCGTAATCCTAAAGTTACTGTCATTGATTCTCTTTGATTCATGCAATGTCTTGTTAGACACAAAGCCTGGAGACTCCAGACCTTCACTCAGGCCACTCAAGGGACATCCTACCTGCTTGACAAATATATTCTTAAAATTCCATGATAATGAAGTTTTCCCATTTAATAAGGAGAAATTCCCCATCTTCAGATCGTTGGGGATGCCTGAGTGTTTGTGTCATAGAAATGTCTCTCAGCACCCAATCCCGTCAGCTGGGGGTCCATTCTGCAGAATTCATTGAGTGATGCAGCGTGTTTGGACAAGAGCCCCTTTTGCTCAATGTGACCCGCAGCCCAGGCTGGCACCCTGGGACACGTTAAGCATACCAGCTTGTACGTGAGATATTGCTCATAATGGTTTTGCTGTAAAATCGATAGTAGGAACACTGTGAATTATGAGCATACAGGAGTGTATCTGATTACCTAAGTAGATGAGACCCTGATATGCAACGGCGTCAAAAGATGAATGATTTCAGTATTTTCTAAGAAGTGGCAGTCAGGAAGTTGAAGCCGGGGCTGTTAATCTCCGCTACCGTCCATTAACGTCCTCTTCAGGCAGTCGCTTATGTTTAAGGGCTTGGTGCCGTGTCTCTCCCATATATTTTAGATGCACTTCATTTTCCTCCTGAAATTACAGCTCAGTCTGGCTTGCCGTCACCAATAGCTGTTTAATTATGGTCATTTACACTGGTCACAATGTACACTTTATCCCTAACCCTCCCGAAATAGTCCCTTTTAGAACCCAGCCAGCCCAGATCAAACGCTTCCCAGTAGAGGTAGTCATTAGCCCAGGGCAGGCAGGCCACTCCCCGAAGGGTGCCCCCGTCATGCCCGTTCTCGATAACCACCACTGGCACGACACAAGGCTGCTTTTAATATGCCTGGCAGATCACATGCAAGAAAGTCTGTTTATCTGAAGCAATCACTGTAGCAATTCAAGAAGTCCTTTATCTCCAGAAAACCACTTACCTTTAATGAGGCATAAGTTTATACATATTCAATTTCTCAGAATTCATACTCCACACATTTCAAAACTAAGTCTTTTCCCGCATGGATCTACATTCTTCAGATGACTGTTGTTTCTTGGCTGTGATTAGAAACATTCTCGGGTGACAAAAAGTGTCAAATGCAACATTCTTGCAAAGCTGTAAACTCTTAGAAGTGTTCTGTTTTAGAATTTCGAGTTGAATTGATTCAGATTTTGTTCAGAGGTGAAACATTCACTTTCAAAATAGCAGAGTTAGTAAAACAGGAGTGATAGGGCATTCTCATTTTCCCCAAGAAAAGCAGATACTTCACAATGACACCTTGGAGCTCCAGAGACAGACAGAAATGACCACATCCGCTCTTGTTTAGACGTGCGTTTTGGTATGAAATTGCAGCAACACTAATTCAGCCCCACTGGACAGAAACCATGTTTCAGTAGAAACGATGACATCGACCCCTTGTTTAGTGAAGCACCACACGCTGTTCCATGACAAGGACATTTTTCTGTTGCTGACCAGGGTTTCTACTTATAGAGCATTTCAGAAGAGCAAATAAAATTATTTGAGAATACAGTTCAACTGAATCATACCATTACTATTACGGTTACAACTAAACTAAGCATAAATGCAACAGATAAATCGTCACTAAGAGGCATGTGACAAGTGAGCCCAGAATTTAGTGTGTGTTTTTGCCTCTGTAGTTGAATAATGGCCGTGTTTGACAGCCAGACAGTGGTGTCCCTCTTTAGTACAGTAAATTCACAGCAGGAAGTCGAGTAGAAATGTTTTCCTGCTGTTTGTGCTGTAGCTACACCCAGCTGTTTATTTTCCACAGCGTTATTTTCGCTGCAGGTTTGTGGATGATAGGCAGGCCTGTATAGTATAAAAAGCTCACTGTACTATATGATCAGGGTACAATGCCCTCTCTCTCTGTCCCACCACAGGCATTTTCATGGGTGGCACAAAGCTTAAATGTGGCCATTGTAGCCCATAATGGTCACTGCATAACCTTATAATAACATTATGATGGTGCAGAAGGATGCATAGTTTTTGCGAATCATCTAACATTTGGATACATTTAGATAAACATGCATTCGGATGCATGCAGCTCCAGTGGCTTGCGGCTTATTGTCATAAATTTCAAGAAGGAAAGACAGAAGATCAGTCTTTTTATATGCCAGCAGAAAACGGAGGCTCTTTGGATATCACATATCCCATCTTGCTGTACAGTGAGCGAAACACAAATACAGCTGAGAGCAGAGTGCCAGTCACTTATCAAACACCTCTGGAACAGTTTTGGGGACCAAGGGCTCAGTGCAAGTTCTCTGCCAGTGAAGGGATGTGAACAAGCGACCAGATGCAGAGCGACAGGCCCATCAAAGGTATAAAGAAGAATCCAAAGTGTCCTCACCAGCCAAAAAACAAAATTGTAAAAGCCAATTACTGAACATATTGACTTTTGATACAGGTATTTATTTTATGGTTTGCTTTGATGTTAGTTCTGTTTCAAGTTGATTGCCTCATTTGCAGGCACATGCTGGGGGGTGGGAAGGTCGAGAATCTGCCCTTTATGGCCAAAGTATTACAAGTGCCCCCCTACAATGGCACCTGTGCCCTTTCTGTGCTTTTTACTTTTGGCTTTAGGTGACCCCCAAGACCCCCGTCCCCCGACCCCCCCAGTGGGCAATGCTTACAGTTGAGCACCAGCCCCTCAAATAGTCTCTGCACACCCCTGAGTATTTGGGCAGTTAACTCACCGTCATGCTGCGTGAATTCTGCATATTGTCAAAAACAATGGGGGGGGGGGGGTAGAAATAGAAGAATTGTTTTATTCAGTAAGGATAAAATTGTGATAATTTCCTTCATTCTGCATTTGTCATAATAGATATTTGTTGCTCTTTTTTAGCCAAAATCAAGATGGCATTTAGAAGGAAACTTCTCCAAATTGAACATTGATTTGAAGGAACAGGAAGCATAGTTTTTTGTCAACCAAAAAAAGAAACTGGAATAAAAGTTTGTTAGGGAAAAAACGGGAACGGTAATTTTACACAGATTTGTTCTTTTCTTAAGGCAGCGTTCTACCAGCCAAAAAACGGCTTGTGCTAATAGGAAAGCTGTTACGTTTCTGTTCAGCAGATGTCTATAAGTGGAGTCCAAAAGTGGAACCACTTTCTGTAGTACCAGTACATTTGTTCATTAACCAGCTTAAGTCCAGCCACA